CTATAGCTAGCGGAAAGAGTCGAGTATTTTATATTTGACTTTTTTTAGTTTTATATTTTTTTTCCTTTTTTTTTTTCCGAGGGGTTTTTTTTTTTTTTTGGTGAGGAACGATGTTAAGGTGCGTGAATTTATATTAAATTTATTAATTTTATGAACATTTAATGATTTATTAATTAATCAATTATCTTTTTTAACGACAAACGGTCCAAGGAACACTATCGCAGTCTGAACACCCTACACTCGGTTCTCGACCACCATCCCGAGTAGAGCTATGATTAAATATCTCGATCCGAAAGTCCATTACCTCTAGTCTGCATACAAATCAACGTGGAGGGAGTCCTTTCTATACATTATGAAAAGGTTTTTTTTTTGAGAGAAAAGGGATAATGTGCGCAAAGTCCATTTGAAAGAAGCCGCCAAATTAAAAATTTTATTTTGCATATATAATTATCTTAGTGTTTTTATGAATATTATTTATTGTCTTCGTTCTACTATTTCTTTAATAAATTTTTAATATATAATCATAAATTAAATATAGAAGTGTTAAAGATACAGTATATAAATAAATAATTTTCGGTAAAAAAAATAAAAATTTACGGTGTTATTACTATAATCAATAAATTTTCGTATTGTCAAATTTTTAAAATATTTTCGCTAGTGTTTCTTCCACCTTTTCAGGTCGCTCTCCTGTCTTTTTGTTTGCTCTAGTTCCCTAACCTTTCCTTTTACAAAATCCGACCGGTTATCTTTAGGCGGCATTGACAATCTCCATTGGGTTATCTATACGGCAGGGTCTGGGGTGTAATTCGATGTTAGAGTCGGGTTCAATGTTTTTTTAGATACCATCAGGGTCAACCCTTCTCAGAAACCTCTGTACTTATAGGCATATGTTAACACTTTTTCATTATCCTTCTATTTCAGACTGAACGATCCACTTGCACCATTGATATCGTTGTTCGGATGGCACGACACAAATAATACAGGAAGGCAGGTACAAAGCTTCTTTCGTTATCATGTTTATCATTCCAGATGAGACGTACCTGATGATAATTATATCAGCCTGCTCACGGACATATCACAAATTCTTGCACGGGTTTCCGAAATTGGTGGTTATTAATTAAAGGTTTTTTTACTTTTGTATACACGAACTTTATCGTGGGGTAAATAAGCGTCGTTTTCTTGAGGTATCTCGTAGTCACCACCAAATGTTATCATTATTGGCGAGTCTTTCGCAAATCCGGGACCAGTAAGTACTAGTGTAACAATAAGGCAAGTTGAGTCTTGATATTCTCCTTGAGGCATATACGATTTAGCAAAATCACTAACAAACTTCACTATTTTCCCGATTTCTAATCTTTTGCCATGTGCGATTCTCCTGGATCGACAAATGTCCAATTTATTTAAGTTTATTAATTATCTTTGCGCAAGAGCAATTTATTAATTGCCATTTTTACAATTCTATTCTACTGTCATATTACCTGCAACGTGTCTACTAATCTAACACCGCGTCATGTACCTAGTCTGTCGCGATCGCGATCGTGTAATGTCGAAAGAGGCGTATGTAAATGAATGTGTATAAGAGATTTGGTGTTTGAATTGGAAATTTATTTATTTTCTTATTATTTTTCTCTTTCTTTACATGTCATATAGTGGTGATTATAAGAAATGAAAGTTATATATTTGATTATAATTTAATAAATATTGATTTAAATTATATAAAATATCTTAAGAATCAGTTTTATAAGAACTTTCATTAATTTATTATTGTTACTTAATTTTATTTTAAAATTCTTAAAAACTCGTCAAAAAATAAAAAATAAAAAATTTTATTTAAATATTTTGTCATTTTTTTATATATTCTTAAATATTATAAATATTTTTTTATAAAAATTATTTTATTAAGTAATTAAATAAAATTATTGATAATAAAAATTTTTTTTGTTGATTTTTGAGACTATATTTAAAATATATTTATAAAAGTTTATATCATTTAAATAATTTTATTTTATTTATTATTTTTTTTAAGATAAAAAAAAACTCACGGTTGTCATCCTGTTGGTAACGACTGTCAATATAATTCTTGTAAAAAAAAAAAGCAACTATCTTTTTTTTTTTTTTTTAGGTTGTAATGCTAAGGTTACAGATGCCAATTTGTTACCAAATTCTATACTTAATATCACAGTTGAATCTGGTTATGAAACAGACGGTTTGGGAGTACAAGCTTTAGGTCATTTTACCATGCGTATTGATGGTTTGGCAAATGAGTTTAGATTCCTTAAAAATCCTATATGGGTTAATGGTTGTCGTTGTAAAAAATGCGATAATATTCCTCAGACATACACATCCCAATGGTATTTTGGTACAGTAGCACCTCCAAAAGGAACTTGGTTTGATGTTTGGATTGCAATATATTGGGAATGTCATGTAAGCGACAGAAGTGGAATGTACTGTTATAGTCTAAATGTACACCATCGAGATTATGTCAAGTAGAAACCGATATTTTTTGTTTTATTTAATTTATTTTAATTTATTCTTAATTTTTAACTAGATTTAGTTACCAATATACAATTATTATAAAAAAAACTAATATTAAATTTCTGGTTGTTTGTGCTTAGCACGGAATTTACCCTTGTCTGTGACAACAGCATTAAAAACTGCATGTGTAATACAATGAGGTTCTAAGCATTTTCTGACTTAACAAATTGCTATACATAGTAAATACTGTATATTTATCGATATTTATTACTAATTTTAAAATTAACTATTTTTTAGTATAATTCATCGTAATGCTGCCTTGTGATCCTTTATAGCGTTAAATAGCCTTCGATTGAACCATTATAAATAATGCACTTTTTGTAGCTGTCCTTATTCAATTCTTTCATTACCTCATATAATCATCTGTTGACGCGTGATGCAGATTCAGACCTGATGGAAAGTGACTTTTTATCCAAGGTTCAAGGAATAAAGAAAAAACATATTCGTCGACAAAGTAATTTTAGGATTGTGATAGGTGTAAATACTGTATATCTAACGTATTCGATTTTTCCGAACATCATAATCGTAATTTCTCTTTTGTTTAATTCTTTTTATTATTATTTATGTACAACAGATTTCAATTCGAAAAGGAAATAAAAGCCAATTCATGATTAATTAACGATAATTACACAAAAATATTATTTCTCCATAGATATTACGTCATAATAATTTGCGGCTTGGTAAGACTTAAAATAACGAAAATTAAAATAAACATTGGATATCCATTGTGAGCCTTAACATGTTTTGAACTGTGTACATGCACACCACTTAAGGTTTTACCATCCCTTATTTGGCCACAATAACGTTCTCACGTTCCCATGTGCCAAGTCTAAAAAGGAAACAATATCGTCGATGTAATTCCGAATAATTTATATAAAGACGCACATTCCAAAAGTCTCAGTCGACTGATTTCTTCTTTGAAAACCACAATGGACGACAATAATGAAATACTGCAAATGTACTTTATGAGAGAAGAAGTCGAAGAAAGAAATAACGGAGAGGGGTCTTCCAGGGCAATTGAAACAACACCAATTTCAACTGAAAGCATTCAAAGAAGGAAAACCTCGAGAGAAAAATCCTCGTACAAGCAACAATACAATAAAAAGACTATTGAAATGAAGCATAAATCTCCTGATATTGTAATTAGCACTGATGACTTGAGGGCAATCCCTCGTCGAGGTAAAATCGTTCGTTCTGTTAAAGAGCATGAGGCCAAGAATCGCCAAGTTGGAAAGAAATGCATTCACTGTGGCGAGACCGGACATTTAGCGAACGATTGTTCCACTCTTCTGATGAAGGAATGTCATCGCTGTGGTAGTACTGAACATGAGATCAAAGATTGCCTAACAGGAATGGAATGCGATCGATGTGGCGAAACTGGACATTTGGCAAAAAATTGTTATCTTTCTCTGGTAATGACGTGTCATCTCTGTGATAGCACCGAACATGAGATCAAAGACTGTCCGGATAGGAAAAAATGCGGTCGATGTGGTGAAACCGGACATTTAGCGAAATATTGTTCGATCCCTTCTGTTAAAACATGCCATCGTTGTGGTACCGAACATGAGATTAAATATTGCCCGGATAGGAAGAAATGCAGTCGGTGTGGTGAAACTGGTCATTTAGCGAAATATTGTACGATTCCTTCTCTAAGGGCATGTCATCGCTGTGGTAGTACCGAACATGAGATTAAAGATTGCCCGGATAAGAAGAAATGCAATCGATGTGGTGAAACTGGACATTTAGTAAAAAATTGTTCGATCCCTTCTATAAAGACATGCCATCGCTGCGGTAGTACCGAACATGAGATTAAAGATTGCCCGGATGGGAAGAAATGCAATCGATGTGGTGAAACTGGACATTTAGTAAAAAATTGTTCGATTCCTTTTGTAAAGACATGCCATCGCTGCGGTAGTACCGAACATGAGATTAAAGATTGCCCGGATGGAAAGAAATGCAATCGATGTGGTGAAACTGGACATTTAGCAAAAAATTGTTCGATTCCTTTTGTAAAAATATGTCATCGTTGTGGTAGTACCGAACATGAGATCAAAGATTGCCCGGATAGAAAGAAATGTGGTCGGTGTGGTGAAACCGGACATTTAGCAAAAGATTGTTCGATCCCTTCTGTTAAGACATGCCATCGCTGTGGTAGTACCGAACACGAGATTAAAGATTGTCCGGATAGGAAAAAATGCAATCGATGTGGTGAAACTGGACATTTAGCGAAAGATTGCTCGACTCCTTCTGTGAAGAAGTGCCATCGCTGTGGTAGTACCGAGCACGAGGTTAAAGATTGTCTGGTCGGGAAGACGTGTCATCGTTGCAAAGCCGATGGACATCTTATAAAGGATTGTCCAATAGGTGAAACTCGCGATGGTCGTTCTATAACTACTTCGACTGATGTATCCACGTCATCCATAAAGCAAACCCAAAAAATGGCAGAATATAGAGCAGATTTACAATCATCAGAAGCCGAGTGCGCAAGTTGTTTAGACACAAAAACAGTCTACAAGTTACCATGCGAACATCATTTTTGTGAAGAATGTTTGCGCCGACTGTTAATAAGTGCTACAACCGACGAATCATTATTACCTGTACGTTGTTGCGATAAAATACTTGGGATGAAATATGCCAAGGCAATGCTTAGGCCGAATGAACTTCGTGATTTAGGGAGGAAAATATATGAACTTCGAACACTCAACAAAATATACTGTCCAAAACCTAGCTGTTCTCGTTTCATTGAGGTGAACGGTGACGAACAAGAAGTAACGTGTTCCGCATGCAAAATTAAAATTTGCATGAAATGTAAGAAAGAAGCGCACACCGAAGAGGATTGTCCGTATGACCCCGACGTTATTCAGATGAAATTAATTGCCGAAGAGTCTGGCTGGCAGAAATGTGGACGATGCAAACGTTTCGTTGAATTGACTATTGGGTGTAATCATATTACTTGTATTTGTTCTTATCAATTTTGTTACCTCTGTGGTACTGAGTGGAAAAAATGCAACTGTCCTCAATGGAATGAGCACAGATTAACCCATGAGGCTCCCGTCAGGACTCAAGTTGCAGAACAAAACCTGCGAGATCAACGGAACCTACGTAATCGTTGTCAGCATAATTGGGTGAATTTTAGAATGGGACACGCGGAGCCATGTGGTAATTGCTCGTGGAATATGGTGTGGTACGCGTATGAATGTGATAGGTGTCTCTGGCGGTAAGTTTTTGAAAGTGGACTAAGTTGTATAAAAATGACGCCATTAACAGCGATTTTTTTATTTACCTAGAGTATGTAGTCGGTGTCGATTGAACCGAATCAGAACTCCGGCAGTTATGACCACAAATCATCGGTATGCAATAAACACTCATAATCAGCGCACGTTAGAAGAAATTGATAATGTAATTCGCACATGGCGACCACCAGCGCATGATGTTTTCGCACAACCTCAGAGACGTCAAACCGCACCAGTCAGACAGCAAGAACGTGTCGAAGAAGGGCGTAGGGAAGCTGGTTGTAATATACTTTAATGAGGATTACTAGTTAAACCGATTCAAATAGTAGAAAATGATTTTGCCAAAAATCAATATTTCTCAATTTAATTATGCATTTCAATTTATCAATATTGTATCTGGTTTGAATTTTATTTTAACTACGCTTATTTACTATCATGGAAAATTTATATAGAAGACATTATCGTTTATTATATGAGGTATATTGTTGTTTCTTCTGAATTCGATTTCATTCTACGTTACTCAGGATTAGTTATGTTTAATATATTTGAACAGAATATAAATAAATCAAAAAAATCAAAAATTTTATTATCACAAGTATGAGAATACATGCAAAATATAAATCTTCTCAATTCAGCTCACCTGTCAATAGCTAAAACCTCTAAATGCAATTTATGGGATGATATGTTGTTTCTCTAATGGATAGGATTAAAATCCAAAATTTCAATAGGATCAATATCTGCAGATCACCTTTACAGTCATAACTATATACTGTATATGGTGAAATTGAATTCAGACATTTTTCAAAATTCTATTATTGTAAAATTATTAAGTAACATATAATAAATAAATAGAAATTATATTAATTCAAAATCATATTATCAATCAAAATTTTTTTTATATAATATAAAAATATATATAGTTATAATAATAAACTTCAAATTGTATCAATTCTCGTAGAAACTATATAAGAAAAAATGTTAAAAAATTATGAAAAAAAAAAATAGTACAAATTTGTACAAAAAAAAAATATTAAAAAAAGAAAAAAAAAAACTGATATTTATTTTAACTATTATTGGAAAGATTATCTCAAAAAATCAAAATTCAAATCTCTTATAATTATTACTATACTTATTTCTTATTACCTATAATTAGTTAGATTATTTAATTTTTATTAAAGCAACAATATTTAAAAATATTTAAGAATACTTTCAAAAGAATATTTTTTGAAATTTTATACTTAAAGATTTTTAACTAAAAAAAATATTGGGTTTTTATTATTGATTTCTCTTTCAAATCATATTTTTTAAATTTTTTATTTTATTTAATTAATAGATAATTTAAAAACTTCTTTTTTCAACTATTTTTAAAATAATAATTATTTTAACTTGTTATCAAATTGAAATAAAACTTGTATTTTATATTTACTTTCTGTCTTTAAAAAGAATAAAAAAAAAACAAAAACAAAAAAAGTATTTCTTATTATTTCTAAATTTATCTTTATTCAATACTTCTATACTATTTCTTTTAACTAAAATTATTTAACTCATTCAAAAATCAATTATATTATTAATTTGAAATTATACAGATAAAAATATATGAAAAGATATATCTTGTTTATTTTTTTTGTGACTAAAATAATTAATCAATTTATAATCTTTACTAATTATCATTTAGAAAATCTAATGTAATCAAAAATTCAGAATCAAACTAAGATAATCAAAATTCTCTAAAAAAAAAAAAAAAAAGAAATAGGAAATTAAAAAAATAATAAAAAAACCAAAAACTTCTTTTTTATTTATTTTTTGAATTCTTAAATTTCTTGAAAATCTTTGAAAAGTATTTTTTTTTATCAATTTTCTTTTTAAAAAATTGTTCTTGCCATAAATTTCTTAGATAGGTTTTTTATATTTAGTTGTAAAAATAAATAAAAAAGTATTTTGAAAAAAAAAAATAAACAAGTAATAACTGCTGTTTATTTGCTGTTTATTTTACATATTAATTAAAAACCAATATTGTTAAAAAATATATATAGACTTTATTATTATAAAAATATAAAATCTTTTGGGAATATTTGTTTTTTAAATTGTCAAAAAAATTAATAAAAAGAATAGTTTTGTAAATTATAAATAATAATATTATTTAAATAAAAAAATTTTAATTTTAATATTTTATATTTATTTTTTTTATAAATAATTAATTTAAAATTAGAAATTAAATAAAAAGGATTTTTTAATTTATATTTATATTTATTTGTTTAATTTTTATTAAATTAATTTAAAAAATTAAATAAAAAAAAATAAAAAATATTTACAGTATATTAATACAAATAATAAAAAAATTTAATATAAAATTTAGATAATTAAGTTTTAATAAATTTTAATTTGAAAAATAAATTAATATATTAAAAAAAATTATTTTGTTTTTTTTATTCATATTTTTTTTAAAAAAATAAATATATAATATATTGATATATACAAGTGAAACTCAATAAGCCAAAGTTATGCTAAACCAAAATTGCATTAAGCTGAAGTTTTTTTTTATTTTTCAAAATTTTATTATAGCTTAAGTTGAAATTAATTAATAAATTTATATTAAACGATAAGCTGAAGATTTTTAACTAACCAACTATAATAATTTGATCTTGATATACCAAAGTAATCATATGAATTTCATTTGATTAATTCATTTTTTAAATCCTATGATTGAAAATTAACTATATTACAAACATTGTTTTTGAATAATCTATTTCATTATATATTTTTTTATGAAAAAAGTTCAATTAATTTTTATTTGATTCATTACAGATTGTTTGTAGTTAGATCTATCATATTAAAATTTATGTCATTTCATTAAAGATACTATTTTCTCAAGACCATTAGTATTATTAGATAAAGTTTTTATAAGAAGTACTTCTTAAAGTGAAATGAAATGAAATGAAACAAAACACTATTCTAATTTGATAACAAATACAATTTGCTCAAGGTTAGGAACAGGCAAAATCATATGTAAAAATTCTTTATAAAGATAAATGAATAGATTACAGACAATAATTAAATAAATAAATATATATATATATATATATATATATTTTTTCCACATTTTTGAAGACACTATAGCTTTCATTTCTTTTTATTTTTCTTGGCGAAAGAGTCATTCATTTCTTACAAAGAAAATGCAACTACACACTATGGTCTAGTAACTGTACAATCTCAAGAATTTTCTCAATTATAAAGTTTGGAATATTCTTGAATTATACTGGATACAAACTATAAACAATAAATATCTGACTCAATAGGTTGATCAAATATCTGTCTTTAAATCTTACCTAGAATAAATGGTTTATATATATCTTGCCATGTAACCATATATTTTAGAGTATTGTAAGAGTATCCATAATAGTTAGTTGATAGGTTACATATAAAATATATATATTTTTTTCTTTTACATTAATTTTGTAACCATTACTATTACACAAATTAGAAAGATCATTGCTATAATAACATGTATATCATTGAAAGTATACCTTTGTAAAACAATAAACCTTAATTAGAATAATATTAACAAATGATAATAAACTTCAAGTTGATACTGTTTTTTTATATAATTTAAAAAAGTTAAAGAAAACAATTAAGACTAAACAACAATATATTACAGTAAACAAGTATTCTTATATTTTATCATTAATAAAATTTATATGATGTTTTTATAATAAACTAAAAGTTTATATAACTATATATAAATTTGATCTATTACAAAATTTGATAAAATGAAAATCCTGATAAGCTGAATAAATTGTCTCTTTTCACAACCTTTGACTTATTAAGTTTCACTTGTATATTTATTAATATATAATATTTAGATAAATATCAAGTATTTTTTATATATAAAGTTATATAAATATTTATTTATTAAATAAAGTCTTATATTTAATACCTATTAATAATTAAAAAAAAAAATTAAATATTTTTATGTTTTTGATATATATAGAATTAATATTACTTATTGATTATTTTTAGTAATAGCTTATATATCTATCTTTATTTACTTAACAATATAAACTTATATCAAATAAATGAATTTATATATTAGATAGAATTAAATTAGAAGATAAAATCTTGCTATTAACACAACTTTTTTTACAAAAACTTCCTTTTTTAGTAATTTTCTTTCAAAATTAAAGAAACAAATATTTTTTTCGC